CTTGAGAAGAAGATTTTTAAAGATTTTTCCTATATATTCCTATGTATAACTTTGATCGGGCATTGTGGCGCCACCCTTGCCCCGGGGGTCATGATTTGAACAAACTTAAATCTACACTACCTGAGGATGATTCCACATCAGTTTCATATTTCCTGACCCAGTGGTTCTTGAGAAGAATTAAGATTTTTTAAAAATGTCATTAATTTTTCACTAATTCATAATTATCTCCCCTTGGAAGTGGGCGTGGCCCTTCATTTAAACAAACTTGAATTCCATGTACCCAAGGATAGTACTTTGTAGCAAGTTTGGTTGAAATTGGTCCAGTTGTTTTTGAGAAGATGAAAATGTGAAAAGTTTACGACGACAACAACGACGACGACGACGACAGACAACGGACAAATTTTGATCAGAAAAGCTCACTTGAGCCTTCGGCTAATAAAAACAAAAAAATGTGAATAAGATTTTACTTTTATTTCTTTACAAAATAAGTGAATAAAAAAAAAAGTGAATAAATATATTTGATGGTTAACAGACTCTGACTTTGAATATCAACTATTATTTTTGAAGAATTTTTAATAAGTAACATTTAATTGGAGTATCTGCATGAATCAGATCACCGAAACTTGATGGTAATATTCTAAAATAAAATGATTAAGATCTTTTTGCAATAATTTTGATTTTAAAGACCAGTCATGAGAAATTATAGTGATCCACCTTTTTTTCCTCTCTTTTATAGGAAAAATTGTAATGTTATAAAGAGGTAGGTTTATCTCTCTTTACGGGCTGTCCATTGACCCCCTCTTTTCATTCTTGCCTGGGTATAAGTGTTTAATATATAGTCGATTCTCATTAGATTATAATATAATGGTTGTCACAAATTAAATATCTTAATGCTGGAGAATATTATCATATGTCAATTAACATGGTTTTAACTGAAATTAGCAATATACTAGTAACTCAGAATGAGTTGTCAGTTACTCTCTGAGTATACAGGTTGCTTTCCTATTCCACACAAGTAACTTAAGCTAGAAAAAGTAAATGTTTAAAGCAATTTATGAATGTTATGAAATACAAAAATACAATTTTTATACAACAAATCAAAAAAGATAAATAATCAAGTCAAAATATTTCAACACAATGTTTCATATATACAATGAATATTATTTCAAAACAAAATGATGTAAATGATATACTAGTATATTAAAAAAAATCTTTAATCGAGCTGTGCTTTCAAAATTCATGTATCAAATTCTAATTCAGCTACGAGAATAAACAAGTCACTCTTTACAAAAATCAGTAAGTATGCTGGATGGTCATGATCAGTAAACTAATTACTGGGAGCTCTGTATGGAATTATAGATAATGGCTTTAAATATAGTGTGTGATCACCTGCAAGTATTTCATTTTTAGGTGCATCTATTGGTTAATTTGTTGACCACCCAGCCTGTTTAAAGCCTCAGCAATTGTGATATGTACAATACTACATGAGATTGATTATAAAGTAATTACATAGAGACTTGAATTACATGTATGATAAGAATATTGACAGTGATGTTATTGCATTTCCTCTGGGGAACAAAATCATATACACTGTAAAAGTTTATACTCTCATGTACTCCAGTATTGTTCTGTAGGGACTAAATGACACAAGACACAGTAACATCAATAAACTAGCAATATTTCTATACAGCAATTTTTTCACGGACAGATAATATTTGGTGAATTTACTTCAAAAAACTATAGAATACAGTGTTGAACATATATTAAAGACACCAATTACTTGATGCAAGTGTATATTTCTAGTACAACTCTAATCATTATTTAGCAGAACTCATTAATTTCTTTATATTAAACTTTGTAAACAATTCATGTAATCTCAAAATATTTCATGTATATTCAACATAAGTTCATGATATTCATGCATCATTACATCAATATATAGTATATACATTATTTATGAATATTAACACATAATACAATGATCATCATTTTTTGACATGAATCATTGTCATTGATGGTACATGAATTTTCCTTAACATGCAACATTCAATTATTTTGTACATTTATTTATTGTCTGTTGAAAATTAATCCACAATAAAAAGTCCTAATGAAGGTTTGCTGTTTTACAAAACTTTTAAAGTCCAATTATTTTGTGATCATTGATGAGTTGTTTGCAAATTCTTTAGGCTATTCCATGCATGCATATAAAAAATAGTTTAAAGTATACATTTTCTTAAAAACAAACAAAATTTTACATCAAGTAATTGGTGCCTATAAGATACTGTATACAGTGAAATATTCGCCCCCATTTTATTTTTGCCCCTGTCATCCATCTTAGAGGTAGACAAAGTTAAAACGGGCAAATTAAAAGAACACAGTATTTCTTCAACAAAACTGACTGGGCGAATTTAAAACGTTGCAAAATTGTGTGAAAGGGTGAAAATAACACAGGGTGAATTTAACCCTGTATACAGTAACCAATGTACCAAATGTCACTAAGTGACACTGGCACAATGGTAGGTGGGAGAGGGGACAAGATGACATATCTCCCTCAAATAAATACTCATGCGTCCCTTATATCAGATTTATAAAGTACAGTACACCATTTTATGGTCTGACCAATATGCCTCAATCACATCAGTTTCACAATGAGGGAAGTTTGTGAAAATCAAATCTATGGAAGGGAATTACCGCCAAAAGTCTATGTGTCTTGCTTCTGTTCTTATTCTGCCTACTTGTTTATTCTTTAGTATTATTGCAATTATATGTACTTTATTGTTTCCATATTCGTGCTTATTACATTTCACTTTAAACTTTTTTCATACTTTATTTTGTCCTTACTTCTATGTTGCTTTATTCTTGTAAATTCGTTCTTCTTTCTTTTAAATTGATACAGTTTTTTAATACATTATAATGATTATCTCCATTACAAACGTAAATTCAATCACGCAAACCACGAAGCGCATTCAACGAAGACGAATACAAGTCGAGTGAATTTAATGCCGCATTATAACGCCAGGTAGCAGGGTGTTCGCTCCAACAGCTACTCCCATTTACGAAAATATGCAGCTAGCTCTATATGAATGGAAGCGCACATGCTGTTGCCAGTGTTGGTGGCGCGGCTCGAGCTCAGAACACAGCAGTCCTTAAAGACTACAACATACAGATGTAAGTACTAAGATGAATTATTTACATGCTAAAGCAGCCAGTAATTCATTTTAATCTTGATGCAACTCCAGGCACGGATTCAGACGGGATCGCTCCAGGCGCGCGTCCCAACCTAAACAAAAGTTTTCAGTGTCCTGCATCGATGTTAAAAAGATAAAACACTCATTTGGTTATCAGAATAAAGTCTACTCATCAATTCTCAGAAGCTTTCAATGTTCCCTAAAAATATATTTAAACGCTTGCCGTTTTCAACTTTTGTTTTTGTACGACCATGCATACATGCTAACTTATGAAAATTCCCTTGGGGAATTTTGCGCGTGACGACAATTTTCAAAGCTTTAAATTCGCGACATTTTGTCGTGAAAATAAAATATTCCATTTTTTTTTTTAATTTTGTAATATTGATATCACTTATGAAACAGCTTAACTGCTTTAGTATAATAAACACAAAATTTTTCCTTCCAAAGTTCAAGTGTCTCAATTTGCTTAAATAGGTGCCTATCTCACTAAAGAAGTGATATCTGTTTAGGTAAACAACATGATGTTGATTAAAAGACATAAATTGGTGAAAACTGGAAAATATGTACACATTTCAGTTCAATAAAATTGTTTGCAAAGTTTTTAGAAATATGTGAGGTTTTGTTACTATAAGGTTTCTGGGACACATTTGTAATATTCTAAAAAAATTTATTTGTGTTAAAAACCTTTTAAATATGTGCAACTTTATTTCCTGTGATTAATTTTATCACATACACAAAACAATTTGAAAAAATAAATTTACTCCTAAGTTCATCAAGTATTTAACACAAGGATACCGCCTTTTCCAAACAAAAAAGTAGTAGGGTATATACTGTACAGTCACTTTACAGTCAAGATGACGTCATGGGGATTCCCAGGTCTCACCCACACAGGTCATAATTAAGGTCACAATTCAGGGGTGACTTTACAGTCAGGGTGTACTCTACAGTCAGGGGTGACTTTACAGTCAAGGTGTACTCTATAGTCAGGGGTGACCCTGCAGTCACTGACGTCACGAAATATAACAATAAATACCTCGTAAGATTTGCTTGAGTTGTTATAATAATGGAAACTCAGGGAAAGCAGTACAAATGGAAAATTTTAGCCTGGAATGCTCTAAGAAGAAATGAGAAGAAATGGACATTGCAAGAGAGTCGATGGTTTGACAAAAAAGAAGATTGCATTGCTAATTTTAAGGAAAAAATGAAAAATGGGTATGACGTTGCAGACAGCTGGGGATCTGAAGAATACCTATTGAAACGTCGAGTTATGCCGCGAAAATACTTCCCGCGCTTCGAACAACAGTAGCAATTCAACGAAAAGAATAATTATGCTTAAAAAAGTCAAATTTAAAGATCATGTACAAATTAATTTAATTCCGTACGAAGAACGGAACGGAATTGGGATGGAATATGCCATAAATAGAGCCCATTTCAAGAGAAGAATTCAACAAACAGAGAATGTGTTATTGCCGGTACTTCTTCAGAAATTGAAACGATGTTCACTTAAAAGTCAAACAAGTATAACATAAAAAGCAAAGTGTCCTTTTACGGTGGTTAAGATATAAATCACAGTCAAGAGGTACTCTGCAGTCAGGGGTGACTCTACAGTCAAGGAGGATTCTACAGTCAGGGGTGACTCTACAGTCGAGGAGGACTCTACAGTCAGGGGGACTCTACAGTCATGAGCCACGTGACAAAAAACATATATAAACTTTATCAATTTGAAAGACCTTCACCAGTTCTCAACAAGTCCTAAGGAGAGAATTCAGGAGAACTATTTTTTTCCTTGTAAGATTCTTGCCGAGAATAAAGATGGAGCTTAAACATCAGGACATTATCAAGGCAAACTACTCTACATTGGTAAAAAAGATGATGGCTATTCCTGTTGCAGAACATCTTTTCGCCTCAAACATAATTACCGATGAAATGAGACAGCAAATAGAAGTTGAGAGAACCAGTCATGACAGAAACAGAAAACTGATTAGCATCATCTTACGTCGGGGATCGAGGGCTTTTATGGGACTCAGAATCGCATTAATGAAAGCCAATCAAGCCGACTTATCACGTCTGTTAATGAATAATGACGATGACACAAAGTCTGAATACGAAAAGAAGTTGGCCATGGCAAGATCATTGGTTGTCAATACCAAAGAAAGAGGAGATTCCAGAAACGATTCAAAGAAAACTACACAGTCTAAGGAGCTAAGGTGTAGAATAAGTCTGGATGACTTTAATAACCTGTTTCTCACCGCCATGCCTTTCAAGGGAACGATTTATATTCACATTCGTCATCTCAAAGAATCCCATGGTCGTCTCCTTGCCACCAAAAAGGGTGTTACCTTTTCTTTAGCCCGTTGGTTGAAATTTGAATCTCTTTTACCAGATATCCAAGACTACATAGAAAACACTGGGAAAGGGGATGAAGAAGTACAGTGGCATGTTGGCGGAGGAGTGTTCGTTTCATTATCACCAGACTATCCTACAGTGGATGTAAGACACTTTTGGAAGCCAGACAACGTTCCAGAACCAATACCAACCAAGAAAGGAGTCACTTTGAACAAACACAAATTGTCCAGACTTAGAGATGCCCTCGAAGAGATGCATGAATCTGTTCCAGAGCTTAAAGACACAGAACTTTCCATACTGAGCGAGTCACATCAGAATCAGCTTGGAATGCTAAGCTGTCCTGAATGTACCCCCTTTGGTTATGATTCACAAGACAATATGTCCATGGAATGTAATGCAGGTGATTTACAGATCGTGGAATCAATTGAGAGTGATCTTGAATGACACTGTGACCATAAACACTGAACCCAAACGAATTAATGATACGAATGTAACTTTTTGTATATATCAATTATTGTATCTATTTTTTTTCGTCTTAACAATACGAAATAAAATATGGTTTTAAATAAAAGTATCTTATTATTACTGGGATATAAAAGGCAACAGTCAAAGAGAGAACATCAGTTTTTTGTCAGTATGCCAAACTACACGGATTACTTAAGGGAGATCTACTACACTCCCTGTAATCCGGGGGCATATGCAGGCCCTGAAAAATTGTATCAAGTCGTCAAACAGGAAGGCAAATGTAAGATTGGCAAACAGAAAATAAGACAATTTTTAAACAACGAAGACTCTTATAGTCTGTATAAACCTATTCGTAAGACATTTCCACGCTCAAAAGTGATAGTGAACACAATTTATTCTATGTGGGATGGTGACTTAGCTGATGTCAGTAACATTGCATCCCATAACGACGGCTACAAATTTTTATTAGTGCTAATAGACGTTTTCAGCCGATATCTATTTATAGTTCCATTAAAAAATAAAAGTCATCAAAACGTCATTGACAGTTTAAAATCGGTTTTCAAGAAAGGGCGAAAACCACACACTCTCAGAACAGATAAGGGTAGTGAATTCAAAAATCGTTGGGTTAAAACATTTCTAAAAAGAGAAGGAATTAATGTCATATACACTCAAAATGAAACTAAAGCAAACTATGCAGAGAGAGTGATTCGTACCATGAAAAACCTTATGTATCGCTATTTCATGAAAAACAAAACTTATCGTTTTGTGAATGTGTTACAAGATTTGGTGAAGAGTTATAACAATAGACCCCACAGATCTTTAGGTGGCAATGCTCCAGTCACTGTCAACCAGGAAAATGCTGATGAAATCAGACTAGATGCTTATCTGTCGGGTAAACCAAAATCGGACATGACAGAAAATAATCGTAACTAGCTTAAGGAGTCAAACAAAACAACGAAAAAAAGAGTAAAACCATTTTTCAAGTTAAAAATTGGAGATAATGGCAGAATATCACAGCTTAAACACCCTTTCCAAAGAGACTACCAGCAAAAATGGACAGGAGAATTTTTTAAAGTTAGTGAAAGATACAAAAGAGGTCAAATACCTGTATACAAAGTAAAAGATTTGGCGGACGACCCTGTTGAAGGCACCTTCTACGAATCTGAACTTCAAAAAGTCATAAAGTCAGCGGACGTGGCTTACAGAGTGGAAAAAATTCTTTAAAAGAGGCGTCGTGGAAAAACCAAAGAAGTGCTTGTAAAATGGGAAGGATGGCCAAAGAAATTCAACTCGTGGATTCCAGAGAGCTCTCTAGAAAAGCAATAAAAACCTGTTTTCTCTGTAAGACGTATTCAAGATGAGCGTTCGGATGGTGTTGACGTCTACGGACAGTTCTGAATATTTTGACAATAAATCAAATTGTTTTCGAGTTCAATTAAATAAACAGATTCAATTCGACGGATATTGGACTGTTGCCCTGACAGAATTTTCTTCAGAGAGCTGGATTGCGTCCAAGAAGAAATCCGAGTTGTTTGTGTGTTGTGATATTTGTGAAGAAACTCATTGGTGGGAAGGAGGCACCCCTCCTAAGACGCGTGTACCTGGGGGAGAAAGCAGAAAATATCACCTACACACTACCATATTACATTCCAGTAAAAATCGGCCAATTACAGCAGATTGGAATATATATAACGGACAGAGATGGGAACTTAGTTTCATTCTTAAACGGACCGGTGACCGTGACACTTCATTTTAAGAAGTTTCCTTACGTACTGTGATGATGAATAGCCAGACTTACGTCAGTGATCCCAGATTATGGGAAGCTTTTTACAAGAACATGGCAGAGAAAAAATTCAACCCTTATAAATACAAACCTAAACAAATTGGTAGAGGTGTGAAAAGTTATGTCTTACGTTATTCCACTGAGACCTCACTCACAATTAGAATCTGAACAACACACTAGCACTCCAATGACCCCAGTAGCTGCCGTGGAGGAAAGAGCCAAAGTCGAACATGCCAAAGATGTCAAAGAGGGCACACCATTCGTCAAGGTGCAGGGAAGTATAAAAAGACCACGTTCTAAATCTTCTGTCATTCCTTCAAAGAAATTGAAGCCAACAACATCTCAAACGTCGAGGAAGAAGTCATCTAAACCTACAAAACAAAGAAAAACGCCAGGAGAAAGAAAAAAAAAGTCCGTCAAGAAACAGCGAGCAGCACCAGGCAAGAAAACGCAATCAAAAACGTAGAAAGAGTTTAAGATCGACAGTTATAAAAGTATCTTTAAACAGTGAAAATGGCCTTTTTAAGCAGTAATAATAAAGACATAGCTCAACCCATGGAACTTTCACTTTTTGCATCACCAACCAACCAAGTAGCGGTCGAGAAAGTGTACTTTACAGAAGCAAGACCTATTTCTAGCATTGGAGTGTCCGACACACCGATCGAAATCGTAGTTTCTGGTTCGGGAGCAGAATACATTGATTTTAAAAGAAGTAAATTGTACGTAAAGGCCCGAATTTTAAAAGCAGATGGAACGCCTCTGGCCAGTAATGAACAAACAGGCATCGTAAATTTACCCCTTCAGAGTATGTTCTCCCAGATGGATGTCTACTTGAACAACAAACTAGTCTCTTTCAATACGAACAACTATCCTTGGAAGGCTTATTTCAAGACAATTTTGTTTAGCGGGAAAGACGAACTCGATTCACAAAAACAATCTGAGCTGTTTTTTAAAGACGAGAGAAATCTTAGCGACGCAAATGCATACAATGGAGGCAATGCCGGTCTGGTCCTGCGGTATGGTTACACTCGGGAAAGTAAAGTCTTTGAGTTGGAAGGAAACCTGATGGAAGACATCCTTGATATAGATAAATATCTGATAAACGGAGTAGACATTTACATAAAACTTTTTAGATCCAGTGCCCCTTTTGTCATGATATCTGCTGAATCTACACCGGCTTACAAATTAGAGTTGCAGGACGTCGTGTACAAAGTAGCCAAGGTGCGAGTAGATCCCGGCGTTCTACTGAACCATAGTAAACAGATAGAAACCCCTGTAAAATATACCATTATGCGAAATGAATTGAAAATGAATACCATTCCTAAAGGATCCACGGAGTTTTACTGGGACAACATTTTCCCTCTAGCGGTCCCTGATCGCATCGTGGTGGCCTTGGTGGACCAGAAAGCCGTCAATGGGGATTACACGGCCAATCCCTTTAACTTTGAGCATATGGGGTTAACTGATGTCGGGATATACGTTAACGGAGAGAGTGTACCCGGTAGGCCATTAAAGACAGCCTTTTCAGCGGGACTCTTTTCGACGGCTTATGCTCGTTTATTTGAAGCCTCTGGAAAATGGAACAATGATGCCGGACTGATTATCACTCGTAGTGATGTTGGAAGTGGATATTCTCTATTTGTTTTTACCGTAGATCCCTGTGGATTTGGAGAAGAGTATTTAAACCTGATCCGTCGAGGAAACACCAGACTGGAACTGAAATTCAAACAAGCAACAACCAAAGCCGCTAATGCTATAGTATTTGCAACGTTTTCATCTCTACTAGAAGTCGACAAATCACGTGACATTAACTACATTCAACCATGAATTCGATGCAACTGCTGAATCTGGTGAAAACGGACCCCTGCTTAAGACGTTATGTAAAAGGTGTATTTGCTATCAATACATTGCCTCAAATCGTTACACAGTATCCGAGCGCCTTCATCGTCAATACGCAACCTTTGCCATTTCCTGGAGAACACTGGGTGGCATTAATCATACACAGTCCAACTCAGGCAGAGTTTTTCGACAGCCTTGGAAAATCACCAGCTGATTACAATCAAGACATTCAGAACTTTCTGAAGAAAAACAGTGTACAATGTAATTTCAAATCTATTCAACTTCAACCTCGTTATTCCGATTTATGTGGTCTTTATGTCTTAGTATTTTTAATTGCAAGATTGTGTTTTAAAAACTCATTAAATCATGTGTATGCTTTATTTTCTGAATACATTCAATTCAATGATGACTTTGTGAAACGTTTTATGCATGAATATTTGGTGTATCATTAAATTAAAAAATCGTTAAACATATACAAGGGCGTTATCTGATTCAGTAATTGAATAAAGTAAATTGTTTATATGTGCGTGTGATATTACATTAGACTTCATTTAGAGAAAGCCTAACGACTGAGAAACATGGAAAACGAGAGCGTGAATGATTGGTGGGACACTCATTCCTTACTTCCGTTTTTGGCACCTACCACCATTCTCATATGTGGTAGTACACAGAGTGGTAAAACACATTTTACTAAAAGACTTCTTCAAAACGCCAAGGCATGTTTTCTATGCCAGTTGATAAAATAATTTATGCTTACTCTGAACATCAACCTATGTTCGAGGAAATGGAGCAGACGATACCAAACCTTTCATTACATCAAGGGTTGCCTTCTAAAGAAGACATAGAGCAGTACACAGAGGGTGTAAATCACACTATAGTGGTATTGGATGATCTCATGTTACAAGTGGCTCAGTCTCAAGATTGCGTACATCTGTTCATGGTGACATCTCATCATAGAAACGTGACCACCGTGATGCTGTCCCAGAACCTGTATCCCCCGGGAAAATATGCCAGAACCATTTCTCTAAATTGTCTAAATGTCATTTTGTTTAAGAATTACCGCGATGCTCGACAGATCATCACCTTTGGATCTCAGAAATTACCAGGTCAAGTTCCGTTTTTCAAAGCGGCGTACGAATCCGCAACGCAGCCCAATTTCGGTTATTTACATGTTTGCCTGGAACCTACACAGAACAGAGAGTACCAGTTAAGAACTCACATTCTTCCGGGTGAAGAGATGATTATTTATCAACCGATATAAATAAACACGATATTAGTTGCTAGTTTCATTAATCAAACATGAAGCAAACGGTAAGGAAACACGAGACTTTCTTAAATTTTCTTGTGCATGCAGACAGTACCCAGCAAAAAGTAATCGTCAAAGCCTTGACCAGTGAACAGTACGATGTGCTTAGCGAAATAGCACATAACATTTACACAGGAACTTTTCCTTTGAGTAAAAAGTATATAAACCAACTGAAACCTTACGACTCTTACATTCGATCCCTGGGATCCAGAGAAGTCAGCAACCGAGAGAAACGCCGAATATTGTTGAAAAAGATTTCTATTAAAACCTATCGTCCAACATATCAAAGGAAAATGGCGAAGGTAATGATACTTGTGCCGAAACTTAAATATGAACGTTTACTTAAAAATTGGACCCTGTTGAGGAACAGTCGACCCAAGATACGTCAGTACGAGAGATCGAACAGACTTCGAAGCAAATCCCAGATCAACAACAAAATGGCAGTGGCTTAGCGGAAACTGGTACGGGCCATATCAGTAAGAAGATAAAGGTCGGAAAACCTCCTGGAATTTCCAATGTTCGACGGAAAAGAAAAAATGTTCCCTGGCTAACATACTGACAGTGTAAAAATAATGAACAATAATGTCTCGTTTATCATTTTATTTGTGAATATTGTTTAATAAAAACATGAACAATAAAATTCTCTTATTTTTTTTTACAAAAAAATTTAAAATCCAAATGGCAATGTGTCCAAGTTAGGAAGGATTCTCCTTTTGGTGTAAACCATTTTATAATTTTTACATTCAACTCTGTTCAGCAATTTTCGCTTTCTACTGTCTCTCGATATTTTACAAGGATTGACAATTTCAATTTGCCGGTCTTGTGATGTACAGATCATCGATTTAATGGCATCGAAATTGATTAATTTCGAATTGGCCCAGTTTAACGTAAAACCCCTAACTTTACATTCTTCTTTTCCAGACAGTGTTCGATAAGCATAATTTTTAGGACCCCCCGAGACAAATTCAACAATGTACCCGTCTTTTGGGGAGATCTCATTTGTTAACTCTCCAAGGTAATTACCAGTGGGGAGATAATTCAAATCGTCTGCCTTTTTGGCCTTCAAAATGACACTGTATCGAAATATAACACGCTCTCGTTTAATTTGTCAAGAACACTGTATAATTTCAATCGAGCCCACATGGTGGTAAAAGAAGCCAAGAATATGTTCGTTTTGTTGTCGAATGCTGCAAATAATGGATTGTTGCTCCATTCTAAGTGAAGTATGTCTCTGGAAACGATGTGAAAATTATGGGGGACTTTAGTAGGATCGGAGAGCATCTGAAAAAATTTGTCGGCTTCTGACTCGTGAATGAACACAGACTGTTGCATATTCAACCTTTGACCGAATTTACCCCAGAAGCTATTTAAACAGAGTTTTGCTAAACATCGCAAACCGGGATTTTTCTTTATTTTCTCGTAATATAATTGTATGCCCTCTTTTTCTTTATATTCCCTTATATAGGTTTGTTTGGCCTCTTCTGTATCACATTCAACAGGGAATCCTGAAGCCTCTTGTATGATTTTTAAAAACATGTTAACATACAGAGCGAAAAGTCCCCCCTCACCCGACGCAAGGTCGTATTTTGAGGTTTCGGCAAAATGATAAATTTCATCAATATTTAAAATTGTGTACCCCTTGGACGTTGCCATTTGAATTTCAGGAGTACACCACGTGCCCGTGATGGCTCTCTCTTTCACAAAGCATGTACAATCAGTTTGATTTTCACTGTCCGCACACGTTCTACACAATGGAAACTTTAATTTTCCATTCGAATTATAAGGAAGTACGGGGTGATAAAGTTTTCTAGGAGGGAGAATTTTAATTTTGGCAAGTCCAAAATATTGTGACATGTCCTGAAAATTGTCTGTAATGATGGTTGGATGACCGACAGGGTAGCGACAATACTTGTTCGTCCATGGATATAAACTGGTAAAGTCGTAATACTGTATGGTTTCATCTTCTTTGGCTTGGTAATGTTGTTTGATGGCATTGGTTCGACCACCGAAGAAACTATCACGTGGATCAAGTCTGTCTTGGAGATCCAAGGTCGACACGAATTGTTGTAAAGCCGCATTCTTCTCCAGCTGATAGTTGAATTGATGCTCCCACACAGTAATCAACTTGTAGCCCATATTTTTTAATTCTTTCTCACGTTTTATCGTCATATCATACAAGTCCTTGATCGTCTGATTTGTGGAGGGGTGTTTGGTGGTATTTCGGTCGTCTGGGTAACAGGAAGGGCAACCATGAAAGACACAGCCTATATAAAAAAAGACAACTATTTGAATCTATTTGTGGTTAAGTTCAGGCACGCCCCCCCCCTCCCCTCAGTTAGGGTCCTCCCTCAGTTATGGGGCAAAACTACATTCACAGACATCTGTGATATTGTTAATTTCTTACCATAAAATTCGTAAATGGTTCCCATTCCATCGGGGGTTTTGGCAAATCCATCACATCTGTAATTAGTGCCAGGAACTCTATATTCGCCTCCGTTGAGGGCATGAGAAATGTAAACAGGGTTCCCTCGGTGACGACTTTTTTCCATCAACCATTCTAACCATTGGATGGAAATCTTGCTATGATTTTCACGTTTCGTATATCCTTGGGACGGCACAACAGCTATCGGACTCTGAAAATATCGTTTTCCAATTTGCACACATTCGTCTTTTTTTAGGTCGACAAGAGACGTCCACGACTCATTGATATTGACCCCATCTATTCCATTCGGACATTCCACATTATACCAGTTGGATTCCCCGTCTTTGATAATTTCTATTTCATGTTTTTCCTTTAAAAACAAACATTTGAAAATGCCCATGCAAACACTTGCAATAGTGACGAAATCGAATGGGTCTACCCCACTCGTGACTGTTGTTTTGGTAATTCCGTCAGCTTGGACTGTTGATTTTTTTATCGTTGTGGCCTTGATCATTAAATTTCTAAATTCCAGACATCCCCGCCTCAAAATATCCACATCTGAGCGACAGTATTGTAACATTTCCTCTCGAAAGTTAAAGGTTTTGCCCTCTTTCGTAGCGTGCCATTCGGCAAGCTTTTTCCGCTCTCCGGACGACATGAACTCGTACCCGTAGTCTTTTAATGCCGGGTACGGCCCCACGTACTTCTGATTGGCTTTGGTGTTGAATAAATGGGGAAAGTATCCCTTACAAAGTTCTTGCAGACCAAAGGCTTCTGGTATCTTTGCTAATTTCATGGGAAGAAAATTTAGGGAATCCACAAAAGTTAGGTTTAATTTATGAGCAATGTGCATGTACATTATTTTGGAACCACTGTAAATGATTTTGCTTGGTCGAATAGAATGACGGTCAATAAAAACTTCTAGTACAGGGTACAAGTCGAAACTTTTCGCATTGTGAGCTATCAAAATTGAATTTTGACATTGTTTACTAGTCACATAGTTACAAAATTGTATGGCTGCATCATCTCCCGAAAATACGAGCTCTCTTTTCCCACACGAGTCAGAGCAGGGGGGATGTATGAATTCTCCCTTACAGGTCTTGGAACACGTTTGACATCGTGTCCCGCAATTGGAAATGTAGAACCCTCCTCGAGTTCTCTCTCTTCACACTGGTGACAAGTGGTTTGTAATACTGCAAAGTTGACTTTGTGCTGTTGCAGACCACAAGACGGATCTCGACATTTCTGACAGAGTCTACAGTCTGAGCACTGGCGTTCCTCTTTTACACATTCGCTACATCGTATAGAAGACGGCTTGTATCCTTGCTGGCATTGAAATATGTCATCTTGACGCGTCTAAAAATCGTAAAAAATATTTTTTTTTGTTTCTCTTTTCTAATTGAGACCCACCCCTTTTCTGATAACAGCGATGTTCACCCATTTGATATTCTTGACAGTTTGGACATTCCCACTCTTGACAGACGTGAAGCTCTGGCGGACGCTTGAGTCTTTGTAGGGTGACTCGACACATCTTGCATTGGTAAAACAAGTCACAGGCAGGGGGATACGTTTTTTTCTTGACGTTACGTTGTTCTTTATGTCTTTGAAAACACTCCATTGACCGACAGACACGATTACACAAACGACAACCTAGTTGTACATTCGATTTTGGACAGTTGTCGCTTAAACACACCTCACAAGAAGTGGCACAGGAGTGTTTGAATTTATTTTTGTACGGTTTTAAGCATGTATGGCAAAAATAGGATGATTTAAAAAATCCCTGTATCCTAGCAATCCCGTGCCAGTGTTTTTCATGTTCCGACTCCACATGATAGAGATAAAGGCGGGGCTTTTCCTGGTCTTCCGTCACCCTGATGAATTTGTTCCCTACTCGATTCGACACGACGTTAATACTAACATCAAGTAGACATTCAAAAGGTTCGATGTCATTCAGACCCAGATACCTGTCAGTGGGTACACCGACTCTTTCACACAAACGCATTGCCATCTCCGTCTGCATTTTCTTTCTTGATGATTTTAAGATATTGTTGTAATAGGATCTTGGAACTGTTCGATGTTTGATGGCATGATCCAGCACCGTACCGGAATCGCCACCCACTAAATTTTCCCAAGAATCACCATCAACTTTTTCGCATAATTTAAGGAAACACAGACCATGGAAATGGCCATACATAGTTTATCATTTTGTACATAAAAGAGCGATTTTTTTCTTTCAATACTATTTTGGGGACCAAACAGAGACGTAACAGGTAATTTAGTTCCCCCTTTAGGCATGTCGATGGACCCCACAGTGACAAGCAGGTTTTCGTCTACCGATAGACTTTCGTTCGAATTCAGTACCTTGGTGACTTCCCCCATCAAAGTGTCAGCATTCAGTATTTCCCAAGACTGTAGCGGGACAACGATGGGATTGTTTGAACTTGGATGACTGAGGACCACCCTCCCCAGATCGGCATCATGACCCCTGGCCTGCGATAACAAGTCATCAAACATATTGTGCAATTTGTTTTGAATATCTATCAATTTATCCCCCCGCCACTGCTCGTTAAATTTCACCTTGAACGTTGTGTAGCGGGCCAAATTTTTCTTCAATGTTCGAGTATCTCTCTTCCAGATGTAATAGGGTTTTTCTAAAGGGTCCCTAAAATCGGAACTCTCCCCACCCCCTGACTGGGCACTCGTTGACGGCTGGTCGTCATCGATGGAAAGTCTCGATTTTTTTGCAGGAGATTCAATGGCAGAGAGAACCTCTTGCCATAAGTCGTCTACGTGCTTTCCCCACTCAAGTTCCTTTTCATGCTGGAGTTCTCTTAATCGGTTCTCGATTTCGGCGTCGCCAACAAGACCATTGGCTATTGCAAACAGCTGTATGGTGTCTGGGTCTGTCAAAGAGTCCAGGATTTCTTTGAGGAGACTACCGTCCGACATGTTCTAAATTAAAAATTCAGATTGTTTATGAATTTCTTGAAAATGTATTGTCAAAATTATAACCTATAATTCAACAATGTATAATATATTGTTACACCACAACTCATCCAAAGAAAAACAAAGCCTTTTTTCAACTCCAAAAAAACTTTTATTTAAATTCACAACTTTTAATTGGTATATTCAGTTGTAAACTGTATGTTAAAAATCAACTGTATAATCAAAAAAGTGTTCCAACAAAGTATATTCAAATGTACCTCAATGCTGTCATAAAAAAATAAAATAAAAAAAACAATAAAACTGATGGATGCTCCCTACATGACATGAAATCAATGAACAAGAGAGATTTTGTTCTGAGGGTCCAATAACTGAGCATCACTGACTAGACGTTTGTTTAAATGCACAGATTGTGCATCAAAATTGCTTTTGTATTACTTTCACATTGAAAATAACAATTTTCCCTCATAAAATAAGGATAATGTTCTTAGTGATTAGACCGTAAAAACCTAGAATATATGCTATAGAGTTCATTATTTTTTTAAGCTGTAAACCAAATTTCAAATGACTCGAACAAGAAATTAAATTATAAAATTTTTTATCAAAAAAAAATTTTTTGGGGGGGGGGGGGGGATATTTGACCTTGAACAGATGACATTGAATTCCCTTTCTTTTAAAGTGTATATCATGAATATCATTTAAGCGAAAATATGATTGAATTTCCATGACGGATATGGGATATATGAGCTCGGATGGACAGACAAACGGACAACTAAGTTCCCTGGACATTTTTTCAAGGAGCATAAAACATACATAAAAATCACAGTACAATTGTAAATTTCAATTGTAAAAAATCATATAAAAAAATCAACAGTTTAATTAAAAAAAGTATTCTAACTTATACTGATCAGGTATTTCCAGATACCAATTGTCATAAAATGTAAAAAAGAAACGTAAAAATCACTTTTTAAACTTCTACACAAGATTCTGAACATTTCCATAAGACTTCAATGGTAAAAAATCCTAGTTCTATTCTCACAATAAAATCATTTTAAAAATACACATATGTTAATGAGTATTAATTACCAAAATCAAAAAATTCTGATTTCAACTGCATAATCAGAAAAAATTGAATTTAAAAAAAAAGACAGTTTAACATTCTTCTTTTTTTTCTAAAAAAAAATCTCAAAGTATTTTTCCTTCATACAGGACATACATCATTAAATCCAGCTAAAAACATACAACTACAAGACAAAATTAACAGCTTTTTGTCAATTATTAAAAGTCAAAATAAACACTAATCACATGGTAGCAGTCAAACCAAGGAACACTAGCTTGACAGAATCTGCAATTGTTCAACAATGTTCAAAAATGCATCCTTAATGAAATAAAACTTTTCCCTTTGCTTTCGATCTCGTGTTATGCGCTGGTGCATCGGGCAATAATTTAGTGGAGGATTGTGGGGTGTTATAATTAGATGTGTCCGGTGTCGATTGGGAAGATTGACCTACTCCATGACTCGCATCAGGTGTGGCATCGGTGGGTGGGTGTGCTGAAAGGTCTGGTAAAGGAATGTGCTCGTGTGTATCAGGAGTGTCACTACTGTTTCTTGTATGGGACATACAGAATCTCTTTAAATATCTTTTAAGAAGGTAGATGATTATGGTCAATGTGGAGGTAATTGCCCATACTAAAACAGCTAATACAAAAAAAAAATATTGTTAACAAATATTATAAGTATTTCAGCAAAATAATGATATAACTGGTACCCACTGCTTATTCAAATCAATTACACATATCGCTGTCTTTCTAATATACTATATCCATTTAAAATCCATTCGAAATAATTTAGTAAAATAACTACATGCAATATTGTACTTCAGTTAACTTGCATAGATCATTTAAACTTCGGAGGCATCAAATATAGAATCATAGTCATTGTCTGATTCAGAAGATATTAGAGATTGTATTCTGCTCAACTCTATTTCAGTTGTTGAGGGTAACTTCTTTGGTTTATGCCTGGTGATTTTCTCTCTCTTAAATATTTTTTTTCTAACTGATGACACATTTTTCTTCTTTTTTAATTTACTTCCAACCTTTTTAAGATATTCTTTGATAGAAATTAGCACAACTACTAGAATGAAAATACAAATCCCTATATTAATGCACAAGAGTATGATTACACGCTGACCTGATTCTGTAGACTCATCAAAGAGACTGTCATCATCATCATCATCTGGCTTGAATGATCCTACAATGAAAAGATTACTTCATACCTGAATTTATTTTAATACCACAACATCTGTTATGTATGTTTTTTTACAATGAACATTGCATAATCTTTGTCAAATTATGGAATTCCACAAATCATTTATATTCTTTTACATAAAATATAATTTTCCTTGGCAAAAACTAATAATACCTTTTATTAAAAAATGACTGGAAATTATATGGGTGTTACTTTATCCCCTGAAATTCCATACACATTAAAATTTATCTAACTGAAACACTTACTGTGATCCACTGTATTGCCCTTGTATCTCATTGCTAGGGTTGTCCTTACTGACGACCGAGTTGTTTGGATCCTGCGGGTTGTCCTTACTGAAGGCCGAGTTGTTGTTTGGATCCTGAGGGTTGTTCTGACTGAAGGCCGAGTTGTTGTTTGGATCCTGAGGGTTGTTCTGACTGAAGGCCGAGTTGCTGTTTGGATCCTGCGGGTTGTTCTGACTGAAGGCCGAGTTGTTGTTTGGATCCTGCGGGTTGTCCTGACTGAATGCCGAGTTGTTGTTTGCATCCTGAGGGTTGTCCTGACTGAAGGCCGAGTTGTTGTTTGGATCCTGCGGGTTGTTCCGA